AGCGCCGTACAATGCGCCCTTTTGATGAGCTTAAGAAAACATCCGTATAACTCGGGTTCAACGTGAGCCAATAGCGATGGTGGTCACTGGATAGCCGCAGTCTGGAAGGAACAGTTACAGTTACATTTATTCTGTTTAAGGCACATCCGCGTGGTGACTGTTCTGCGCCTGGTCGTAAAAGGAAGAACTCACACACAGTGCAGAGATACACACATACGCACAGATAGATACTTAGTTTCAGTCAATGAGCCAGCGTTTTAAAACGGTCAATAGCGCTTGGCACGAGGAAAGGACTGTAGGATTGTTATATCGGGTGCTAGAGGGTAATGTTTCATTGTGACACGGACTCCAATAGCTAGCGTGTGCCATACTGTATTTAATGGCCCTGTTTTTATTTGTTTAGCCCCAAATAGCCCTGACACACCGAATAGCCCGGCTACGAAGAACAAACACAACCTTGCAGATGTCTCACTTTTTGCGTCTCCCTGTCTATCGAAAGTGGTAACATGTTCTCAATATCATCGTCTGCCATCGCGACACACAGAATCGCTGGTCCCCGGCGCGTAATTTGTTGACCAAGCCGATGTCCCCGCCGATAGCGACAGCGACCCACTGGCGGCCCTCGACGTTAATAATTCGGCTGTTGGCCTTTGTCTGCTCCGCGCCACAACACGAACGTATTGGGCACCCTTTGTTCGGCCGGCGCGTGTGCGTCACCGAGCAGCCGTCCGCTTGTGGCGGCTCGACTTTGATCCGCCGTCGCAGTTGGGCGACACAACCACTTTGGCCAGATGCGTCCTCCGTCACAGAGGTGCCCGCGGTAATTAAATAAATGGCGGCGCTGTCGGGACGACGCCACGCGTCGCGGCCGCGCCGCCGCTCGTCGCGGGGGTCTCGTCGCTGTCGGCGGTTTCGTTGTGGGGCACGCGCGGGGTCATCTCCGGTCGCTTACGGCGCTTGTTTGGCCGTCGCGGAAGCCCGTTGGGGACGTGACGTGGGAAATAAGTGCCACCCCGAGCCGATGGCGGGGCTGCTCGGAGCAGGCCGGAGATGAAACGGGTTGTTTGCGGCGAGCCCGAGAGTGGATCTTCGAGCCACGTCGCGCCGGGATATTACCAACATGACTCGGGATGGGACGGGGGAAGAGGACGTTGACATGCGGATTACACGCAAACGATGTTTTGACAGTGCATAATTTCGAACCCGACACGATTCCAGTCATCGCGGAAAGGTTGCGACGCAGCTGCTGAGGTTGGTGGCGTAGGCGTATGACAAGGCCAAACGAATTACCTGACGCCTTTGTGTTTTGTGTTCCGCTATCATATTGGTCAACCCTAATTCAGACCGGACGGGAAATCCTCACGCAATGTGCATTGTGATACATGTGTCGTTCCGAACATTGCACCGAAGATGTGTCTTGCTCACCTTGCCACCTTGCCACCTTGCTCCGTTTTGTGGATTTCGTCAGTCGTCAGATAGGTGGAAAATACGCCTAGGAATAAAAATGAAACGGTATGGCTGAACTATATGAAGTATAAAACAGATGAAGGGATTACCAGCAGAAAGATAGTGTGTGCGCGTATGCCTATTAAAACGCAAAAAAATGTACCTCGCCGTGTCGTACCTCGTGGAGCATATCATAAACTGTGTTCATATGTGGTTAGCGCAGCTACAAAACAAATCACATGATGCTTGAATTTGATCCTATTCTGGGCGTTACAGATTTTCATATCTTGTGAGGCGTTTAACGGTACCCCCGCTTCGATGCATGAAGTTTTCCCATGAAAGGGCACGAGGATGTGCATTACACATTTAAGGCACAAATCCTCAGTATGGTGACATATGTTAGAAAGTTACATTTGTTTTACATTGGGTCAGGGAGTAAAAGATGGGGCAATGACCTTGTTTTGTACTTGATGAAAACTTTTCAGCATGGGAAGCACGTTGCATTGACGAGAGTACTCCGGCTGTTGAATGAATTTCGCTGATGCTACAGATAGTTTTACTGCCGAGATCACGCACCTTTTTGAAGCAAGCCACGAATTGATGCATATCATAAAGTCATTACTCGCTTAAGAGGGTTTTCCAAATGTCATTCTTGGACCGTGTCTTGTGCGATGGCATAATTATTCGTGGAAAAGCCAGTGTCCAATGAACAAACATTCCGTCATGCCTTTCGAGTTTACACCGAGCTTATTTCGCCACGTCTTTAGTCGATGCGTTTTCAACGGTCCCCTGCAACGGCGAACAATTCGTGCACGAGCGCGGTGCCACTTGTCAACCTGGCAAGTGAATTGAACACACTTCATGGAATTGTCCTGTATTCTTTGCTATCAATTATTGCACACGAATACCACCAGTGTCATTGCCTGAACTTGATGAACACACGTAGATGTGTGGCGGGCTCATCCCAACTGCTGAGTATTTGCGTGGACAAAGAAACAAAACTGTTCTTACATGAACGGACCCAATGTTGTTGGCCCTAAACATTATTGTGTGCAATTGTTCCAAGATGCACTTTACAACCATGATCGAAAGAATGATGATGATGAATCAGTAATGAATCGCAAGGACATGATCTTGCGATTTGTGCTTGCACTTCTGTGGCTGAGCTTGATCCTGTCGTCGATCGGGGCTTGTGTCAACAGATACTGTGGTTCCGATATACCCGCTCGTTGATGGAATTGCATCAATATTGGAGACGGTGGATGACTGCTTTTTCCATCAAGCCGTATTCCATTAATCTCAAATTTCTACCAAACCCTTTAGAGACTAGTTCTCTAGACAACTTTGGTGATTTTGCGCAAACTCATGCTTGGTGCGTTGCGCTTCACGTTAAATGGCTGTAAAAATGTCCTCAGTTTGACAGGGAAACTCTGCATATTTGTAGCAACTTTACAAGTTAAGACACCGTGTCCGTGATGATGACAAATGGTTTGCACCGCACCCACCGAAAGATCGCTATGCTGTGCAAACAGCCGCTTTCGATTCTTCGGCGACTAATTTCAACGGATCCTTTCTTGAACATTCCCTAGGCTTTTTGCTGAAAGTAGGAAAACTGCAGGTCTTCATTCCCCGACCCTTTGACCTCCACCTCCTGGCAGCGAGACTCTTCACTCACTGACCCGCTCTTGGACCCCGGCGTGGTTTACACGGAGATGGAGTCGAATCAGATGCGTGCTGTTTCAAATTCTATGTGTGCGGTTCCAGGCGTGCTGGGCCAGCACTTTGATCCGGCTCCGGGCAAGATTGAAGATGATGCGAATTTAGACCACTTCGTTTTTTCTCATGTTGAGCTGCAACTCAGCTTTATACCTTGGCTACCGACGTGCGGTGCAGACCCGGAGCGCACGATGTTGCCATCTCCTCGACTCGTGAGGGACGACAGGCACGTGAGGCCGATAAACACGCATTTGACATTCAGACCGCTCTAGCGCTCCTGAAGAATGTCAAACGGACTGGTTTTAAGATTGAAATGAATGATTTTGAGATCATGGTCACAATTCCGGGCGCAGTGAGCTGATCGCGCCCGGTCACTTGAAACCGATCTCATCGATTTTTCAGGCATGAGCGGTAATACATTGTCGTTAAATGTGATCCCAGTTCAAGTCAAACTGAAGGCCCAGTCTTGCAGAAAATGATGCCAAGGGCCATACCAGTTCACTAAGCGTATCCAGTTAGCCTTGAATGTTATGTGTTTTTATAAAACCCACGTTTTCTTAAAAAATGTAGATATATCAACATCAACTTTTCCTAAACGTTATTCTCCGCAAACTGCTTTCACTAGAGCAAGTTGAAAATTAAGGTTCATGACGTCATCGCGTGTTTTCATCTAATCTTAGTTCCTAATGGGTACACCATACGGCTCTAAAACTCACAGAATGACGTTTCGACTTGATAATCAATCCATAGACATGTTTTTGTCAAATTTGAAGAGGAAGCCGTTTTATCCCGGGTTGATTTGCTGTAGGATGGCTCATCTGGGTAATTTACGTGGGACGCATGTTTCCCCAGACTCCTGTACAGCTTGTGCCTGTTGTGGTGCTCAGATATTCCTGCACTTCCCGAATCGTGTGTGTGTTGAGGTAAAGGTTTCAGCCACTTTTGTTACACATTGTTTATTACAGGGAACTAGTTTTGCAAAGTGAGTTAGAGGGAGAGAGGGAGAGAGACCGGAGGAGTAAAAATGACGCAACTTACCCCACGATATGCCAATAAACGTGCTCCTCCCCGGATTTTGCCCAGTTTCCCCCCAAAATTGGGGCAGGGCTTTTCCAAGTAAGAAACGGTACCCATGATCCAGTGTTTGAAGACTGCAGACTTTGTGTATAGTTAAATAGTAAGGAAATTATTGTAAAGAAGTAAATTTTGAAGTTACTTCTACTATTCGTTTTGATAAAAGGTGAGATACCAAAGCGACGCATAATTTCAACGCATCTGAACCTCCTTTTTCCTGTTTGTTTTTAGAGTAATAAAGCCATTGATGCCGTCTTATCAGTGTGCATACTGTTTCTCGCAAATTCATTTAACAACTTACGTACATTGCACGACAACAACTCAGATTGCTGCTGGCACTTGTTGACGGCATTCCTCAAGGGCGAAAACGGTGGTTAATTGATAACGTTAGCAGGCTGATGACCGCGTGCGGTCATTAACTGACCGTGCCAGGTGTGCCGGTTCTGGTCGTAAGACATCTCTCTCTTGCTTTTTAACACGCACATGCTCTGGTCCTATGTTTATTTGCTACGACTTACAGCAATATCAAATTATGCTTCACCCACGCCCCCACCCCAACCCAACCTTGTGTCCGAGCTGATCGGCAGCACGGGCTTTTCAGGGAAAGACAGGCCTACCACCAGACGTGAGTGCACGGAACGCGCCGGTCAGCCTATTCTCGGCACGTGAGCCGCGCGTTGCTTCAGACTCCTGTACAGCGTGTGCTGTCGAGACAGCACGTTTCAACTAGCGGTGCTCTTGTGCGGTTTCATCTCCAGAGGTTTGACAATGACCGAGCATGTGCCTTTGCTCTACCGTCGTCGGTCGTTGGGGCTGCCAGCTGTGATGTGACCGAGCGACATCGTGGCAGGCTTTTTCGTGGAGCCGAGCAGGTGATGCCGAAGCTGAACGACCAGCGACGTTAGCGGCTCCTCGCTCAACCACAGTTCCAGGCTGTTCTTCATTTGCTCCTCGAACCTGAAACGATCACAGGAAAAGGCAGACGTCAGCACCCGAGACACTCATGGAGCACCCGAGACACTCATGGAGCACCCGAGACACTCATGGATATCTGAACGAGAACTAAGGCGGGAGGCATTCACTGCGGGCTCCAGAATCGCGAATTTCGTCAGTTCGCGACGGTAAATGATCCCATCAGTTGCTCTCACCTGATAACCTCTTTTTCCAGGAAGCCCAAATGCCGGCAGCCCAGTATCTCGGTGCTGACGTTCAGCATGCTAATGCCGTGCGTGACGAAGTCCTCCGGCATGAGTACGCCGACGGCTGCCTTGCCCGGCTCCTCGCTGCTCTTCTGGAAGTACAGGTTGTACGGAACTCGAATGGGTACCAGCACTGAGCCGATGCTGACGAGCGCGGAGCCGCGGACGTGACGGATGGAGAAGTAAGGCGGAAATAGGTCGGCATTCACGCTGAAGTTGAGGGGCACGCTTACGTTGGAGAAGTGCATGAGCAAGGTCGCGTACATGTGGATCTTATCGACTGCGAGTTGCGTCACCAGGGTGGGTCCTGCTTGGTGGAAGGCGGGCTCACTGGGAACGTCCACATCCACTCTGATACCGTGCACCAGGAGTTGAAGAGTGTGGTGATCTTCATCCACGTCCCTTTTCGCCACCGAGTCCAATGCGTCGACGCGAACCCGAGCCAGGGACTCGCGGATTATGCTGAAGAAGTCGGGATAGGGGTTGGTGAGATTTGGCCGGCGAAAGAGCTGAGAGAGGCTTGCGAATTTGACGCCCAGTTTGTTGATGACAAGGTTGCGCAGCGGAGCTTGCAGCTGTCTAATGTCGTCGAAGTTGCTCTCAACCCCTGCCGATGCAAGGCCTGATGCAGCGGCTGGAGATGACGAGTCTAGCGTTGGCCATGAAGGCGGAGAGCCCGTTGTCGCATCAGAGGGCTGACTCGCTTCGGAGCTCCCATCGAATGCAGCTGGTTGAGAAATCTGGGGTACTTCATGCTTCATTGGCATGGTATTGATATCGTAGACGTCTGACGTTTCAGGAGGCATTGTCTCAATAAGATAATCGTAATTCTTCTCAGCCGTTTCACCTTCATCGTGACCGGTATATTCCGCTCTGTTGTTTGCGGGTTCAGGCGCGATTGTCTCGATAAGATAATCGTAATTCTTTTCTGTTACTCCGCTTCCACTCGGGCTCAAGTGACCTGCTCCATTGTTTGCTGTCTCAGGTGAGACTGTTTCAATCAGATAATCATAATTCTTCTCCGTCGGCCCATTTTGGATTGGGTTCATGGGTCTCGCCTGATCCTTTGCTGACTCAGGTGAAATAGTCTCGATAAGATAATCGTAATTCTTTTCTGTTACTCCATTTCCACTCGGGCTCAAGTGGCCTGTTCCATCTTTTACTGTCTCAGGTGAGACCGTTTCGATTAGATAATCATAATTCTTCTCCGTCGGCCCATTTTGGCCTGGGTCCGTGCGTCTCGCCTGATCCTTTGCTGGCTCAGGCGCAATAGTCTCGATCAGATAATCGTAATTCTTCTCCGTCGCTCCGTGGGCCATATTTACCTGTCCTCTTCCACTAAGGTCTGAATCGGGTGCAACTGTTTCGATCAAATAGTCGTAATTTTTCTCCGTTACCCCATCTTGGCCCGAGTTCCTATGTTCTGTTTCACCACTTAGAGGCCCGGGAGCAATTGTCTCTATCAGATAATCATAATTCTTTTCAGTCGTTCCAGCTTGGCCTGAGTTCAAATGCGCTGTTCCATCGCTGCCTGACTCGGGGACACTTGCCTTGGCCAAAGGACCGGGATCTTTTCCCATCATTTGGTTTTGGCCGGGGTCCATGTGCTCCATTTTATTACTCATCGGCACAGCTACTACTTCCTCAACCAGATCATGGTAGCTCTTCTCATTAGTTCCAGCTTGTCCAGAATTTGCATTTCCGTAATCACCGCTTGCTGGTTCAGGTGCAACTGTTTCAAGCAGATAATCGTAATTCTTCTCTGTCGTCCCATTCCTGCTCGCGTGTCCTCTTCCATGGTTCGCTGTCTCAGGCGCGATTGTCTCGATCAGATAATCGTAATTTTTCTCTGTCGGCCCACTTCTGCTAGAGTGTTCTCTTCCATGGTTCGCTGTCTCAGGCGCGATTGTCTCGATCAGATAATCGTAATTCTTCTCTGTCGGCCCATTCCTGCTCGCGTGTCCTCTTCCATGGTTCGCTGTCTCAGGCGCGATTGTCTCGATCAGATAATCGTAATTTTTCTCTGTCGGCCCACTTCTGCTAGAGTGTTCTCTTCCATGGTTCGCTGTCTCAGGCGCGATTGTCTCGATCAGATAATCGTAATTTTTCTCTGTCGGCCCATTTTGGCCTGGGTCCATACGTCTCGCCTGATCCTTTGCTGGCTCAGGCGCAATAGTCTCGATAAGATAATCGTAATTTTTCACTGTTGCTCCGTTTCCACCCCGGCTCAAGAAACCTATTCCATCTTTTACTGTCTCAGGTGAGACTGTTTCGATTAGATAATCATAATTCTTCTCCGTCGGCCCATTTTGGCCTGGGTCCATGCGTCTCGCCTGATCCTTTGCTGGCTCAGGCGCAATAGTCTCGATCAGATAATCGTAATTCTTCTCCGTAGCTCCGTGGGCCATATTTACTTGTCCTCTTCCACTAAGGTCTGAATCGGGTGCAACTGTTTCGATCAAGTAGTCGTAATTTTTCTCCGTCACCCCATCTTGGCCCGAATTCCCATGCTCTGTTTCACCACTTAGAGGCCCGGGAGCAATTGTCTCTATCAGATAATCATAATTCTTTTCAGTCGTTCCAGCTTGACCTGAGTTCAAATGCGCTGTTCCATCGCTGCCTGACTTGGGGACACTTGCTTTGGCCAAAGGACCGGAATCTTTTTCCATCATTTCGTTTTGGCCGGGGTTCATGTGCTCCATTTTGTTACTCATCGGCGCAGCTACTACTTCCTCAACCAGATCATGGTAGCTCTTCTCATTAGTTCCAGCTTGTCCAGAATTTGCATTTCCGTAATCACCGCTTGCCGGTTCAGGTGCAACTGTTTCAAGCAGATAATCGTAATTCTTCTCCGTCGGCCCATTCCTGCTCGCGTGTCCTCTTCCATGGTTCGCTGTCTCAGGCGCGATTGTCTCGATCAGATAATCGTAATTTTTCTCTGTCGGCCCACTTCTGCTAGAGTGTTCTCTTCCATGGTTCGCTGTCTCAGGCGCGATTGTCTCGATCAGATAATCGTAATTCTTCTCTGTCGGCCCATTCCTGCTCGCGTGTCCTCTTCCATGGTTCGCTGTCTCAGGCGCGATTGTCTCGATCAGATAATCGTAATTTTTCTCTGTCGGCCCACTTCTGCTAGAGTGTTCTCTTCCATGGTTCGCTGTCTCAGGCGCGATTGTCTCGATCAGATAATCGTAATTCTTCTCTGTCGGCCCATTCCTGCTCGCGTGTCCTCTTCCATGGTTCGCTGTCTCAGGCGCGATTGTCTCGATCAGATAATCGTAATTCTTCTCTGTCGGCCCATTCCTGCTCGCGTGTCCTCTTCCATGGTTCGCTGTCTCAGGCGTGATTGTCTCGATCAGATAATCGTAATTTTTCTCTGTCGGCCCATTTTGGCCTGGGTCCATACGTCTCGGCTGATCCTTTGCTGGCTCAGGCGCAATAGTCTCGATAAGATAATCGTAATTTTTCACTGTTGCTCCGTTTCCACTCCGGCTCAAGAAACCTATTCCATCTTTTACTGTCTCAGGTGAGACTGTTTCGATTAGATAATCATAATTCTTCTCCGTCGGCCCATTTTGGCCTGGGTCCATGCGTCTCGCCTGATCCTTTGCTGGCTCAGGCGCAATAGTCTCGATCAGATAATCATAATTTTTCTCCGTCGCTCCGTGGGCCATATTTACTTGTCCTCTTCCACTAAGGTCTGAATCGGGTGCAACTGTTTCGATCAAGTAGTCGTAATTTTTCTCCGTCACCCCATCTTGGCCCGAATTCCCATGCTCTGTTTCACCACTTAGAGGCCCGGGAGCAATTGTCTCTATCAGATAATCATAATTCTTTTCAGTCGTTCCAGCTTGACCTGAGTTCAAATGCGCTGTTCCATCGCTGCCTGACTCGGGGACACTTGCTTTGGCCAAAGGACCGGAATCTTTTTCCATCATTTCGTTTTGGCCGGGGTTCATGTGCTCCATTTTGTTACTCATCGGCGCAGCTACTACTTCCTCAACCAGATCATGGTAGCTCTTCTCATTAGTTCCAGCTTGTCCAGAATTTGCATTTCCGTAATCACCGCTTGCTGGTTCAGGTGCAACTGTTTCAAGCAGATAATCGTAATTCTTCTCCGTCGGCCCATTCCTGCTAGAATGTTCTCTTCCATGGTTCGCTGTCTCAGGCGCGATTGTCTCGATCAGATAATCGTAATTTTTCTCTGTTGGTCCATTTCTGCTAGAGTGTTCTCTTCCATGGTTCGCTGTCTCAGGCGCAACTGTTTCGATCAGATAATCATAATACTTCTCCGTCGGCACATTTTGGACTGGGTCCATACGTCTCGCCTGATCCTTTGCTGGCTCAGGCGCAATAGTCTCGATTAGATAATCGTAATTCTTCTCTGTCGGCCCAGTTCTGCTTGAACTCAAGTGTCCTCTTCCATGGTCTGCTGTCTCAGGCGCGGTTGTTTCGATCAAATAATCGTAGTTCTTCTTCGTCGGCCCATTTCTAGTCGGGCTTAAGTGACCTGCTCCATCGTTTGCTGCCTCAGGCGCAACGGTCTCGATAAGATAATCGTAATTCTTCTCTGTCGCCCCGTCCCGTCCCAGGTTCACTTGTCCTGTTCCACTGACACTTGACTTTGGTGCGACCGTTTCAATAAGATAATCGTAGTTCTTTTCGGTGGTCTCAGCCTGGCCAGAGTTCACGCGCCCCATTGCATGGTTTGCCGACTCAGGCGCAATTGTCTCAATCAGATAATCGTAATTCTTCTCCTTCGCTTCAGGTTGGCCCATATATCTTATTTCAACACCTGCCTGCACACTATCTGAGCTGCCATGCCTCGCTTGCCCGGCTGGTAGGTCGTGAGATGAAGTGGAGCCGCCCCTCGATGACACTTGGGCATCCCCGTGTGAAGCCTGCATGCCGACCGGCACGGCGTTCGTATCGCCGTTGGACTCGACGCCCACGGCCGGCGTAGGCTGCAACTGGACGTCCCTCTTCGTCGTCAGCGACCGGCTGTGGAGCGTTTCCCACGCGCCGCACGCTCGCGGCGGTCAGCAGGTTCGCCAGCAGAATCTTGGACAGGCCACGGACGTCCAGAACGCCGCTGGTCGTGTTCAGCGTGTTCCGCAGCTCATCGCCTTTGGTGACGTGGAGCTGCAGCTGCTTCAGCAGGGTGTTGAGGTCGAGCTGCTTGGCCGGGGCGTCCAGCGGCGCCGCATCGGCGAGGAGCAGCCCGGTGAGGAGGCAGAGGAGGGACGCCAGCCGGCTGATCACGACGCCTCGGCGCATGCCTGTCGAAAATCAAGGCATCAGGGCGGGCTCAGGAGTCCGGGCTGCAGACAGCGAAACTGCGCTCTGAACCAGAAGCTTGCTAGTGAGCTAGTGCACGGAGCGTTTGACATTCGGGCCGAGTGAGCTCTGAGTTATTGCCGCCATTTGGGTGTATTGCGCAAACAAAATAAGTGGGGGCAATTCGGTCTTGGTGGTTAGGAAACATGTCCACGATACTGGTTTATGAAAGGACGTATGGCGGTAAGAAGTTTGGTGCATTCTGTGCAACAGCACTCGTTGTGTGCTGTGAGCGCACGCTATGAACCAATTTAAATGCACGGAAGTAACTGAGCGAGCGAGCACGGAACAACGGGGAGGGCTTGTGAGGCAATTTGATCGACGCCCATCAACATTTGCGGCAGCTTTGTTTGTGTACACTAGCCCGATACTTCTAATGCGCTCAGCCTGTCAATAATTGAAATATGTCCTGGTCCGCCGACACGTGGGCACGGTTTATCGGTGACAGACATTGGAGGTATTGACAAAGTAAACACGCTCGCTGTGCAAATATAGTTATAACGGCGGGGAATGAGACGTAGGACAGGCTGTGCGATGAAAGCACGTTTTTCGATCTCCGCAAAACATTGAGCCTGTGAGAGCCCCACCGGTCGCGTTATTTCTTTTTGCACATGTCTCTGGGTGTTTTAAGGAGACAACGGTTAACTAAGAAGGCATGGTATAAGCTCAATGAGTGTAAAAACAGTCATCCCAGGTAAAACGGAATGTTTGTGCACACATTTAAGTATGAAAAAGTACCGAATGCTGTAAAACTGTGCCACATATAACGTGAACGCATTCTACATATGGAAGACTCTCATTTATTTCATATTCCCATTAAAGCCTAATTCACGCTAAATATTGGAGTACAACATGATTCATCTTCTTACATGGGACGGTTGGACAAATACAAGAGAATCGGGCTCCGTCAATTTTATCTCGAAACCGCTTTTTCCAAT